AATGGTATGGTCACTTGAATTGACAAGGCTCTCACCAACTTTAGGAGTAGCCTAGAAGCTGGCAGAATGGCATCCTGCTTTATGAACATGTATACAGGATGGTTACTATTTGGCAAGATTACTAATGCAGAATTTCTGCATGCAGTGCATGACAACATTGTACATCATATTTGCCCCTGTAAGCAAGTATTGATTTCCTGGTGTAAAATTTAGAGGAATGTAACTATGATCTTAATTGTCCAAAGCATTGATTGTTCACAGTAGAGAAGTAGAAGGATATACATGGATAGTAAGCAAAGACTAATTCTCAATAGACCTGAAACATTGATGCCACTTGGTGCCATGAACCATTTGACTCAAATCTAATTCTACACAGCACCCAATGGGGATGACTGTAGTGTTCCACATAGAGTAAAAGGGCACCCTGAGTGATACAGGTATCCACAGCAGCAACCTTCCATTAGGGCCTTTCAACCAACCATCATTGTGAAGTTTCACAGGTTCATCCCTAGTGGCATGTGTATCCTGGAGACAATCAAGCAGTTTCCCAGCATCATGCAATGCATGAGAAGACATGAAGGAAAAACATATTGAATGTGCTTAATGGTTTCAGTGTAAGTGAGATCCATAAGACATGGGAAATGCTCACCATATACAGGGGAAGGCAAGGCACATGCACTCTTTGGATTGTTTGCAGGTGGTTCAAATGTGTCTTGGTTGCAAAGCATTTCTTCATAACTCTCAGCATCCCACACCCTCACAGTCTTGTCATCTGAGCCTGAGACAATGCTCTTCCCATCAGGGGAGAATGCCACTGATGTGACATAATGTGTATGACCCTCCAGAGGGCTGCCAACCTGCACACCTCTCTCAGCATCCCAAACCCTCACAGTCTTGTCATCTGAGCCTGAGACAATCCTCTTCCTATCAGGGGAGAATGCCACTGATGTGACCCAATCTGTATGACCCTCCAGAGGGCTGCCAACCTGCACACCTCTCTCAGCATCCCAAACCCTCACAGTTTTGTCAGAAGAGCCTGAGACAATCCTCTTCCCATCAGGGGAGAATGCCACTGATGTGACATAACGTGTATGACCCTTCAGAGGGCTGCCAACCTGCACACCTCTCTCAGCATCCCAAACCCTCACAGTTTTGTCATTTGAGCCTGAGACAATCCTCTTCCCATCAGGGGAGAATGCCACTGATCTGACATAACCTGTATGACCCTTCAGAGGGCTGCCAACCTGCACACCTCTCTCAGCATCCCAAACCCTCACAGTTTTGTCATTTGAGCCTGAGACAATCCTCTTCCCATCAGGGGAGAATGCCACTGATGTGACATAACCTGTATGACCCTTCAGAGGGCTGCCAACCTGCACACCTCTCTCAGCATCCCAAACCCTCACAATCTTGTCATCTGAGCCTGAGATAATCCTCTTCCCATCAGGGGAGAATGCCACTGATCTGACCAAAGCTGTATGACCCTCCAGAGGGCTGCCAACCTGCACACCTCTCTCAGCATCCCAAACCCTCACAGTCTTGTCATCTGAGCCTAAGACAATCCTCTTCCCATCAGGGGAGAATGCCACTGATCTGACATAACCTGTATGACCCTCCAGAGGGCTGCCAACCTGCACACCTCTCTCAGCATCCCAAACCCTCACAGTCTTGTCATTTGAGCCTGAGACAATCCTCTTCCCATCAGGGGAGAATGCCACTGATGTGACCCAATCTGTATGACCCTCCAGAGGGCTGCCAACCTGCACACCTCTCTCAGCATCCCAAACCCTCACAGTCTTGTCAGAAGAGCCTGAGACAATCCTCTTCCCATCAGGGGAGAATGCCACTGATGTGAACAAATCTGTATGACCCTCCAGAGGGCTGCCAACCTGCACACCTCTCTCAGCATCCCAAACCCTCACAGTCTTGTCATCTGAGCCTGAGACAATCCTCTTCCTATCAGGGGAGAATGCCACTGATGTGACCCAATCTGTATGACCCTCCAGAGGGCTGCCAACCTGCACACCTCTCTCAGCATCCCAAACCCTCACAGTCTTGTCAGAAGAGCCTGAGACAATCCTCTTCCCATCAAGGGAGAATGCCACTGATGTGACATAACTTGTATGACCCTCCAGAGGGCTGCCAACCTGCACACCTCTCTCAGCATCCCAAACCCTCACAGTCTTTTCAGAAGAGCCTGAGACAATCCTCTTCCCATCAGGGGAGAATGCCACTGATGTGACATAACGTGTATGACCCTCCAGAGGGCTGCCAACCTGCACACCTCTCTCAGCATCCCAAACCCTCACAGTTTTGTCATTTGAGCCTGAGACAATCCTCTTCCCATCAGGGGAGAATGCCACTGATCTGACCCAATCTGTATGACCCTCCAGAGGGCTGCCAACCTGCACACCTCTCTCAGCATCCCAAACCCTCACAGTCTTGTCATTTGAGCCTGAGACAATCCTCTTCCCATCAGGGGAGAATGCCACTGAGCTGACATAATTGTCATGACCCTCCAGAATCAGCTGAACAGAAGGCCAGTCCCTGAACCCTCCTGCAAAAACCTCTGCAAGACAATGGAATTTTGGCTTGAGCACTTTTGATAGCAAGCTGTTTGATGGACAAAATGGAAGTGCAGAGATGTAGACATGCATTGCACTCTGTGAGATTGCACTGCCAAAGTTCCAAATGAACTGTATCCCATCTTGTGCCAATGCTAATGTATCCTCAGACCCACTTTGGCCCTTTCATAGCTCTCAGAAGATGTTACCCATAAATTATGGAATACTCACTTGTAGCCACTTTGCAGTACAGGCAAGAACATCTGTAGCATTTCCAACTAAACCAAGCAGACTCATCGCCTCAAGCCAGAACAGAAACCTTTCACTTCCAACTACAGTGTGCACCAGCATTGCCAGCCTGACGTCAAATGCAGTCCGGTGTAGATGCTTCGCCCAGAATCGACAGGAATAAGATAGATGCGGCAAGATGTTTTTGGTGCACCTCTCGGGTAAATCAGGAAAGTCGGTATTGCTGAAGTAGGAACTCTCCAGTCCACAGATGTTGAATTTAAGATCGTTGCAAAGAATTTGCAATGATGCAAAGGACTGGTCATACGAGTCAGATATGTCAACGAAGTAGTCGCCACTCCGCGAACGGTCAGTTAGGAAGTCGTAGAACGATGCGTGGAGAGGGCGAACAGGAGTTGCATGGTCACTGATGCCACTTAGCACCGGAGCCATGAATTCCAAGATGACAGAAATGTCATAGCGATCATCCTCGCTTGGGAAGTGCATTCGCATCAACTTCAGCGTCTTCACAGGCAGGGGCTCCATGACCATCAAAACCTGTCGCATCACCGAACGAAATCGGGAAAGGGGTACCGGTGATGTGGGTATACCACTCTCCAGGATTGAGATGTATGTTGCATCCAGAAGCGTCTTCCCCTCTCCATATTGCAAAGTCACCACATTGTCGAAGCGTTCCTTCACTGTATGTCCAGCTCTCCTTGGCCTGACAAATTCACAGGCCAGACGCGCCCATTCGAACAACCCGTTCGCCTTCTCAGCAATCTGGTCTATCTCAGTGGATCCAATATCTTTGAGGTGGCCAATTTCTTTCGTAACGAATAGACGGATGTCACGTTCTGCGGATTCCAAAGGAACGTCATCCAGACAGGTTTTTAGCGCGTGCTGTGAATTTCCCAGCACGTACTCGATGTCCGGTAATGCTCTGGACGTCAAAAGAATGCGGAAATTGGCAGGCAAACTGGCAGCCTCGGTCGACGTGAGGAGTGACAAAATGTGTCTTCTTGACTCGTCTGCCCCACTTTCGTCCAGGGCATCGATCACCACAACCACGTTCCCAACTATCGCTCCCTTGGCCTTCGACAGCGGTTCCAAGATGAGCCGCTGCCATTGCTGCGCCACGTCAGGGGTAGCCTTGAGAGTGTGATCCTCCGCAAGAGTAGAGGCCAATGCTCGTCGAAACGCAGGGTCACGTCCAGCCAGATCGCGCGCGATGGTAGTGAACATCTTCTCTTCGCGGTGCTCGGATTGTCGGTCACGGACGAAGCAGAAGCAAGACCCAATTGCCCCCACGTCCTTGACCCACGATGCAATTGTATGGGCAATAGCGGACTTCCCCCTCCCAGCCTGACCATGAAGCCACAAGATGCGGGGCACGTCGACGTCACGACTGGTAATCCAACTAATAATCTGCTGTAAAATCTCGGTCCTCGTACCATCAAGGCATCTCTTGGTCGTGTTCAGGCCAGCCCCGCCTGCGTAAGCCATGCCATCGAGGTTCAAATCCTCGAATACGCGAGTGACGTTGATGTGAATGTTCCGGATCGTGCGGTCGCGGTACTGCTGCATCAAGTCATCTAGGGTTTTGATGTGACCATCGACAATGGTCTGCGTTTCAGATAAAATGTTTTTCCCCATTCTTTTCCCTGAAAACGTACGTATCGCATCGACACACTGGGACTATACGAAAATAAGACGTACAGAAACTCTTCGTTTCAGAATAGTCTTTGATAAATTGTGCAGAGTCACTTATCACCCGCGCGATCATTGCAAGGGTATCCTTCATGTTCTCGATATTCTTTATGGTGTCATCTTCCGCAAGGAATTCATAGGTATTCCTGATTTTATTCAGCAGATTGGATACTGCTGCGTCTCGATTAGCTTGGCTGATGAGCAACTGCGGACGATGTGAGATAAAGAATGTCCATCGAAGCATGAACGTACATTGGATGCGGCGGACAAGATTCCCAGTGCAATCTTGGCATAGGGGTGAACCTGGCGCACGCATGTGGTGAATGTATCGGATGCAAATATAAAACACGTACGTTGGAAAGAGTAGTAACGATTTCATTGAAAACTTTGAAAGGTTTGAGATACGTATCGCTGAAGTTTTCGATTTCCGTGAATTGGGTATTGGCGTCGTCGATGACACTGATGACACCACATCCGATGCGAGAAATAGGATTAATGTCATGGAATGCTTTCACCGCGGCATCGACATCTTGTCCAACCGCAGCTGATACGGGTGCTGACTGAGTCTCGTCGGCTGGCCGTTGGGTCTGTCCAAAGGGGATCAACCAGGCTCATAGCATGAGGAGGTGGTGGCAGATGACATACGACCTCTGTTCCAGGCGCCGGTGATTGTTCCATTTGCTCCAGAGGACCCACATCGGTATTTGAATGAGCCCTCTCCGTCGCAGTGATTTGATGACTTTGGAAGTTCAGATGGAAGAAGCGCTTGATCTTGGCAAGCCCTCCCTTGGATGCGCTGCTCGAAGTTTGCATATCAAGGGTAGGACTCTCTAGCGGAGCCTGAGAAGGGCCTTGAGACTGATCCCCAAAATCAACATGCTATCTCCTGGCAAAGACAATATGCGTACCGTCAGATGGCTAGGCGCAGAACCGGGCGGCTTTCCAAAATCCAAGAGACGACGATGTTTCTTCGACTGCATGCGTGCCATTGAAAAGGTGTTTCGTGTACGGTTTGTGAGTTCTGTTCGACGTCGAGGATGCGAGACGTGGTAAAGGTTAGGCTGAAGGTATTATGTAAGCACGATGTGCCCAATACGCAGACGTGCCAGTCGGCAGCCGTGGTCGCCATATTCATGTCAGTGGTTTCTACTGTCGGGTATTACCCACAGGCACTTGCCGACTTGCCTGCCTCCATCGCCAAGTGCAATCAGTCAGCGAAAGTCTACTACTGTACTACACTTGGACAAGCGTCATCGGAAGGCTTCTCCTCCCAACCCCCCCACCAGTAAACTGTTCTACCATGTTCGTGCATGAGGTGCAATGCAGGAGGGGTGCGTAGATCGACAATTTCTTTGGCGTTCATTGCCACTCATCCCCCAATTGTTCTCGGTTGTATTTTCGACAATGGGGAGTCAGCCATAGGCAAGCAAGGCCAGGGGCACACCTATGTTGCCCGACTACATGCTAGCTGGTTCTTCAGTGCACAAGAATGCTCTGCGCTCAACTTGTTTGCTTGCTCGGCCTTAGACAGTCTTAGTGAACCACAAGTCGCACTCGTCCACAACACTGCATGCTACCTTGCTCTGAAACAGTTCCAGAGGCCGGAACCAAATCAGTATTTGCTTGTTGAGGGGGCCACTGTCATGATTCACGAACGTTGTGAACGCGTGCATATCTCCGACTTCGATCACAAATGTGCCGCCATCTGCGAGATATGAACATGAAACTACTGGGCCTTTTTTTCTCTCCTTACTACGAGGGCGAGGAGTCCCCTACCCCCAGTATTCGCCCTTATGGAGTAATTGGCTGGTAAGTTCTAAGTCGATGACTGCGTTCGCTGGCTAATAACCGGAAGCATCCACTAGTTGCTAGATAACATATTCTAGAAACAGTGAGTTGATGCTACTACCCCTTCCTTGTCTTTGGTAATGTCTAGCATGGGCGTCGCCACTGACGGTGTGGACAGGCCAGATGTCTAGGTGGTACAGTACTGTAGTCTGAGCGCTTGGCGGGACTTTCTGCGGTTTGTCAAGTCCAAAACTTGGCTGGTTCGTAGTTCACACTTAACTCCTCCTCAACGTGATCATAGCAAAAGAGCAAAACTTGATATTCCACTTTCCAAGAGGCATCTCCGGAACATATGAGTGATACATTGCAGGCATCTATGCTATATCATGCTAAATGGTACAGGACGCTATAGCTACAGTAAGTCGTAACGATCGGGTGCATAAGGAAGTGTCGTACGTAGAGTAAGATGAGCACACGTTCACGTGTGAAGAGATCGTTGAAAATTTAGCGTTTATAAAAATGGGATTTCCCCTTGCCACCTCATGATTTGAAGCCCTTGTCGACGTGATTGCGGTTTCATGTTGGATTCACCCAAGTTTGATTTGGGTGGTTCTTCCATACCTGCTGTCGATGGTTATCCTTCCTAAGGAAGGTCTTCTCGCAGGCACCCCCACCATACTGGCAGGTCCAACCTTCAAGAAGCCACATTAGCGCAACCGCACACACACATACAGCGTCGAATGACTGTGCGCACCTTCGTCATTCGTGTACATGCACTTGATGTGCCCCTTCACCTGCTCTCTACGCTTATATGTCCCCGCGCAAGCAGCATGGGGACAGAGGAAGGTCTTGCTATTGGGTTCTCCGTTCTTACTGGGTTCCCACAGAGTGAAATGGGTACTTGTCTCTCGCATGTTCTTTTCGTGCTATGGGTGGTGGGTAAGGGGGATGCCGCATGTTTGCTTCTCTGCGGGGTGGATGGTGTTGGTGGGTTGGACGGAGTGGGCGGGGTAGACTTAGTAAACAAGTTCTGCGTCTGTGTGACTGGTGTCGGGAAGAATTGCCCAGATGTCGGTGGGAACAAATGAGTATATGCGCCCTTGGCAGGGAACAAGCTCGGATCAGGCACCACCTCCAGGCTTGGGGGCCAAAAGGCATCTGTAAAACACAGCGAGGGGCATTTGATTCTGTGTGGGGTGGATGAGTTCGACAGGTTCTGTGCCTGTATGCATGGCATTGGTCAGGATAGTCCAGGCATTGGTGTGAATGTAGGAGTATATGCGGTCGTGGCAGGCAACATTCCGGGATTAGCCATCGCTGGGAAAGAGGGCCAAAAAGTATCTGGAGAAATCAGCGAAGGGACCCTGGGACCGATGGGTGACTAGTGATGGAATGAGATAAAGCGGCCGCAAGCTCCAAGTGATGGTTGATGGAAGGAGTCTCTGCTGGCAGGTCGAAGCACATAGGCTGGACGAGATCATGGTGCATGGCATACGGGACACAGAGCATCTGGGGTGCTTGGTTCGCACCTTCCAATAATGCGAAGACTAGCAATCCGCGTATCAAGATGCATGCCAGGGATGCGCAGGAGGGAATGATAAGCCCCTCGCAAATTGGAAGTCGATAGCTACCCAGTCATGTCAGCCACCTGGACATGCCCCACCATAAACAGCCTGTTGTTGCACTGTTGTATACATTGTGGAACACAACATAGTGTCAGGACTACAAGGAAGAGTGGGAGACAAATCTCAGAGTTGTGTGGTGAGAGGATGAGGGGGAGCATTGGGGCCATACTTGCTTGCCGACATCTGATCGCTCTTGTGACGAAAGCGGCTTCGTTTAAGTCACACGGTGGTAGTCCGTTCTCGTAGGAGTGTTTCTTACGGTTGCTCAGGAAGAACTGGCCGAAGAATTCTCTGTTCGAGGTAGACTGGGGATCTAGTACATCAGTAACTATGGTTTATATGCATTCAGAGTGCGGTGGGAGACAAATGAGTAACTAAAAGGGGAGGTATAAAGGAAGAGAAAGAAAAAGGAAACAAAGCAGTATTATTCTGAGGTGTTAACAGTCGTGTAAGAGCATGAATCATTACATTCACCCTCCTGACCTTCGACAAGAAGGTTAAATCATTTAGTTCTCACAAAGGTTATTAGACAGAAAAGATGTGTTGGGCTGAGCTGGGGTCTGAGAGAGATTCTTGAAGGGTTGATTGCAGAAGTTGTGAGAGCAGTTCTTAAAGAAAGTAGCTCACCCTCCTCACTTGGGGTGATCATGGTTTTCATGCCCTCCACCTCAACCCCTGGGTGCATAAGGTTCATGCCAGTGGTGCCTTTGACTACCATGAGATATGTTTGCTTGTTGTGTTCTACAGTAAGTGTGGTATTTCTCCCATGTGCCAAGTCTGGGCCTACTCTGACCAACTCTGACACTGGATGAGGTCTGGGGAAAGGTTCAGAAGCAAGTCCAACAGAAAGAACTGAACTCCAACTGGTGGAGTGTTGGCAGGAACAAAGTCCACTGAGATAAAGGTGGAGTGGAGTGAGGGCATTGGGTTTAGCTTGTGTGCTACCCCCTTGCACAATCTCAGCCCTCATATTTCAGAGGGAGAGTACAGATGGACAGATGGAGGTGACTCTGACAGACAGAGGATGGAGACAGAGGGAGTAGGAACTAAGTCGATATTTGTACTGAAGAACAGCAGAGTACAATACATGCTTTTATACTACTACAGAGGTACAGTGATCAGAATTGGAACTGACATACAGAGACTCATAAAATTTCAAGTAAAACTTCCTAGATGACAAATGAAGGGTAGACAGAGGACACACAAATGGAAAACACAGAACATCCCAAAGAGGAAACAGTCCTGGCACTGGACCATGTGGTGCATGTGCTGTGGAGTACCTGATCATGCACTGTCAGGGAGAAGTCCAAAGGGTAGTCACATGACTCCTCAGGGGATGGCCTGCATGGTCTGGTAGGAGAGCAGTACAAGTCTGACAGCAGTTGGAGCAGAGATGACTTGTAAATGTCAGGGGACAGGCAGAGTTGGTGTGAAGTGAGTGAACAACTGGCAGAAAAGGGGTGTGGAGTGAATGAGGACCTAGGACAAATGCATGGTCATGACAGTGCCCCCCCTTAGGGCCTGAATGCCTGAAGGCCACATATATGGGATGAGATCAACATGAGTTGATCATTTGAAATTATTTTGATGCCTTGAGGGTAATGGCTCTAGCTGCAATGGAGCTCTGTTGGAGTCTGAAGAACCACTTAAAAACATGTGCCAGGGTTCTGAACCCTTGTCCCTTCCCCCCATCATCATGTCCTCCCAGCATCAGAGAAAAACCCCCCAGCCAACCCCTGGCCATGTCTGTTACTATTCCCAAGTTGCAGATGAAGAACTGGTCATCCTCACCAACAACTCCACTGACACTGAGTGGGAGAAGTCCATGGAGAAGGCATGCTGACAAGAGGAGACCAAGTGGAGAGAGAGAGAGTGCATGGCAGAGCACAAGGCCAAGTGCAAGGAGGCCAAAAGGTGGAAGGCAGAGGAGGAGAGGTTGGAGGCAGAGTGGAGGAAGAGAGTGGAGGAGGAAGATGAACCAGTGACCCCACTTGAGGGTCCCTCAGGTGCAGGAGTCCACACATGGTGGGCAGAGTGGGAGCAGGAGTGGCAGTTGCAGGCCATGGGGAAGCAGGCTGAAGTGCACAAGGCTGCTGCACTGGCCTTTGAAAGGATGGCAGATGCAGCAGAGCAGATGGCAGTGGCTGCAGAGCAGACAGCCAATGAGTGGGCACTGTACCACACCTGGGCAGAGTGGGTGGAGATGAGGAGGAGGGAGGATGTGTGAGAGGCCAGGATGGCTGAGCTTGAGTGCACAGGCAGTGGTTGGAAGAGGCCTCTGTCAGAGGCAGCAGAGGAGCAGTGCAAGGAAGCAGCCAAAGGTGTGGAGAGGGACAACAAGGAAGAGGAAGAAGTCAGAGGAGAGCTGGAAGGCAGAGAAGGACAGGAGGGTGGCAGAGAGCAAGTGATGGAAGAGTAGTGTGGATTTCTTTCTTCTTTTTTTTTTGTTTTTTTTTTTTGTTTTTTGTTTTTTAGTTTGTATATTTTGTACTACCATGAAATAGACTTGTGATTCTGAGAAGTGAAATGGATAAGCAGAGAAAATTCTAAAGTACATAAGGTAGTTTGGTAAGGGGCAGAGTTGGCCTGCAGAGGAAGGTTATGTGGGCAGAGTACTATGGCAGAGGTTGATATGGGCCAGGTTTGTGCAGATAGCATTCATGGAAAGCAGAGGCTATGTCAGAAGCATGATCCAGCTCAGTTGCAAGCAACCAAGAGGTTTCTTCATCAGTGTTCTCATAACCAGCCCAGTGGACTAGGTACAAGAGTTGACAGTGGCAGTGACAGCAGTCTACCTTAGAGTCAAGTATCTCTGACACTTTGTACTCAAGGTCACCATTGACATCTACTGGCAGAGGCAGAGGTTGTTGTCAATTTGGGAAAGGGTTCACCACTGCAGCTTCCAGTTGTGAGACATGGAAGACCAGATGTACTGAGTGCATAGTGTCAGGGAGCTTAAGGGTGATGGAGTGTGTACCTGGCCTGGCCAAGATGGTGAACAGACCTAAGTGCCTTTTGGAGAGTTTTTCCAAAGGATGAGTGGAGTGGATGTACTTGGCTTTGACATAGGCCTGTTCTCCAACCTTGAACTCAGGTGGAGGTATGCATTTGGCATCTGCTGGACCCTGATAGCACTGCTGAGTGGTGGAAATTTTGGAGCAGAGGAAATCATGGAGGGCAGAGAGCTCAATGACATAGTCATGAGCCCTTGGAGAGGTGAAGTCTTGGTCAGGGACCACAAACAGGTTTGGATGATATCCCTTGTTAGCAAAGAAGGGAGAAGCTCCAGTAGTTGCACTTGGTGCATTGTTGAAAGCAAATTCTGCTAGAGGTAACAGCTCAGCCCAATTGTCTTGTTAGTAGTTACAGTAGACATGAAGGTACTGCTCAAGGGTCTGGTTCATTCACTCAGTCTGGCCATTGCCTTCTGGGTGGTAACCCAAAGTGAAGTGAAGATGCATATCAAGGGCCTTTCCTAGAGAGCAGAAGAAGTGTGAGACGAACTCAGGACCTCTGTCAGAGGTGACATTAGCTGGTACTCTGTGTTTGGAGAAGACATGGGTAAGGAAGAGCTTAGTGAGTTCAGTGGAGGTGACAGAGTTGTGGGTGGGGATGAACACCACTTGTTTTGAGAGGTGGTCCACTACCACAAGGATGGTGGAGTAGCCATCAGAGTTGGGGAGGTGTTTGATGAAGTCCATGGAGATGGAGTTCCAAGGTCTCTCTGGGACAGGGGGTTGCTTCAGTAGACCATAGGGGCAGTGCTGTGGAGTTTTGCTCTGTCCACAGGTGGTGCAGGACCTGATGTACTCCTTCATGTCAGAGTGGAGGTTAGGCCACACATAGTCCCTGTGGATGAGTTCTAGGGTGTGGTTTTGTCTGAAATGGCCTGCTAGAGGATGGTCATGCTTGAACTGAAGCACTTGAAGGTGGAGGTCACCAATGTCAGGGACAAAGATGTGACTGTCAAGGTGGAGCAGACCATCAGAGTCCAGGGACCACTGAGGCTTAGTCAGAGTTGGGAGATGGCTGGCAGAGACAGGGTTGGATGGTAGGGCAGAGATGATGTTGGAGTGCAAGCATTCAACATTGAAGACCATGGTGGTGTGGAGTACAGGTGCCATGAGGGTGGTGGTATGGAGGGACAATGTGAGTTGCTCCTGTGTAAACATTGGGCAGAGATTGTGAGGATTTACCTGCACATAGTCCCTATCCCCCCCTTTTGGGTAGATGTCCCAACATCAGTAAATCACTTTGAGCTGTGGAGCTCTCCACAGTGCTCCATAATACACAGAGTCCCCTAGCTAGGTCCAGGCTGGACAGATGCACCCAACAACACTTTTTGCTATGGCTAGTTGCCTGTTACTATGGAATGGTCACATTGTCATGGAACTTTGTCCAGTATCTTACTTACTATGGATTGCTATGAACTTTCATGCTTAGATATCACTGTACAAAACTGGCCAGACTGTATTCTCCTTGGGGTGTTGTCCAGTACTCCCCATCTCAATGTTTACTTTGCAAACATGTGATCACTCCACAACTAGGAACAGTTCACAGCAGGTATGACAGGAACAGGAGCATTGGCATCAATTGCGTACTACATGTAATGACAGGTATGACATGACTAGGTATTATGAAATCAATCAAGGACTGCCTGAATGTGCTAGTACCTCTCTACATTTGAATCAACCTCTTGCAGTGCAGCCCTGATATGAGGAGTCAGTGTGAGCATGTCAGCCACCCCAGTACTTACCATC